GTAAATAATACAGGCCCATTTGACAGAGCAGATGAAATAAAAGAACAAGCAGTAATAACACAAGCTTCACAGCACAGTATAAAATGCATCGGTTTCAAAACAGTTAATGTTGCCGACATGTCTCCAGCACAAGTCTGTGCAACTTTTACAGTTCTCTAGGGGATAAAAGCAGCCACTGTAGGCTCTCTGGTTGTCATGAGTACAATTATATCTGTAAAAGGTCATGTTCTGTAATTGAGTATATGACTGAGTTAAGCATTGGGAGGCAAAGTCTATGAGAAACTAATTGGACCATAATTCAGGCTCCCTCAAGTTTGGATGAAAGTTTTTGTTTTGATGAGACATCTATATTAATGTACGCTACAATTCCACATTCTAATAGACCAAGCTTTTCGCACAATTGCCTTATTTATTATAGACTGCAGGTGCAATTATTATCTGACTGATATTACATTACAAAAAGGCACCGCTCCATCTAGTTCAACCTATGTGTGTGAGTGTGTGTGTGATTTATATTCTCTAACAATTCAAAAAGTCCCATATATTCTGTTTCTTAAAAAAGACATCTAAACATTTTTTGCAGCTGTCTACACTCTCAGCTAGGTCCACTTCCTGGGGAAGGGAGTTCCTCTATTTTACTGGTCTAACAGTAAAGAACCCTTTCCACGATCTAAGGTTAAACCTTATTTCTTCTTGTGATTCGTCGTGTGCATTGGGCACATTGGGCTGTATATGGCAGCCATGTTGTTCAGGTCCCAGGTCACCAATGCCATTTTGTCATAAGAAGAGATATAGCTGCAGTAACCTTGAGTTCATACAGTGCACAAACTGTTAGCCAATGTGAGAACTGTTTTTGTCAGATCCTAGAGAGGACAGATGCAGATCCTCTCATGCCTTTTAGCCCAATCTACACTTCAGTCTAGACGCCTTCATAAAACTATCAAATTAGCAAGCTTGAGCAACCTGAAAAACAAACAGATACCTGCTAGACCTCCCTCCATTGTAAATACCTAAGCTGAAGTCTCTAGCAATACACGATTCTGGCTTGGTAGAATCAATAACTTCAGAGTATTTCAAACCTCATAAAATAATAACAGCACAGCCAGGATAAGGACATATTTGCTTCCATCAGTTAATTAGTAACATTGTAAGCCCAAACAACCCTATATTAGACAATATGGGGAGCCAATGAGACACATTATCCTTCCTAGGTAGTGTAGACATTCGAAACCTGTCATATTTATATCCATTTGGAAGGCAATTCAGTACTGGACAATATTATGCAACTTAGCAGACTATAGCATGTAGGTATTCAAAGGTATGTATACCTCTCGAAAACTGTATCTGGGACATGGTCATAAACACAGTGACATCCCAGCGGCCACACCTTAGACCAGATGATTGGTCAGGTAATTTCTGTCAACACCCTGTCGAGGTCCTGAAAAGGGGATTACAACCACAGTGGACAGCTCTTGTTTTAACATCAAACCAAGGAACACCTGTCGAGTTGTATTAGGCTTCATGCTCACTGGGCATTTAATACCACTGGTAATGTTAGCTGTGTAAAGTCACGTTAAAGATGTGTTTTTCAGCGTTTTTTAGCGTTTTTGTTTTAGCATTTAGTGGCATTTTGCCTTGTTTTGTTCAAGGTTTTTAGAGGCTTTTTTTACCCAAAAGTTTTTTTTAAATTTCAGTTAAAAAAAAGTCCAAAAATGCTGATTTGTCATGATTTACTGCGTTTTGCCACGTTTTTCAGCATTAGAGCATTTTTACAAAAACTCCTCTAGAAACCCACTAGTCCTGGTTTTTTTTTTCCAGCCAAAAATCGTCCCTGCCAAAAATTGTTGATTACAGTCTATGTGTGCATGGACATATATGATAGCATGCTGGGGAGTTTACTGGCTATAGAAAAAAAGTCAAAAGCCAAAAACAGCAGCTGTAAAAACATCCAGTGTGCATGAGGATTTAGAACCATCTTGCTTGTTGATTTGTATTCTGCAGAACCAGGACATTGGTAAGTATGCTCACTATCAACTCCTTTTTATTTTTCTGTTGCATTGTTGTCTCCTTTATTTTGGTAATACCTTTTTTTCTGTAAATATGTTATTTGCACCCTTTTTGCCTGTTCAATATTAAACCATAGTTTGGAAAGTGTTAAAATTGTCTATAATGTGCTAACACAGAACCTAAAGAATCCCTGTCTCTTGAAGAGCTCTACTTTAGTGTAAATCTCTGGACATACTTGACTGTGGTGATAGTGTGTGTTACAGACATTCTTTTAAAGTCATAATTGTCATTGCTCTTATTGTGGAGGGCTGATAGGCCCAAAGCTGTTTGGTGGCAGTTTGGAGTTTAAAAGATTAATTACTTGGTTAACTAAACCCAGTGACAATCGCACTCTGTTGGCACTTAGATTGTGGTCCCACAAGCTGGAAAAACTTTGTGCAGGGTGAGGCTGAGAGTGTCATTAATATTGTAGACTTGCAGCACTGCTCAAAGTCGTGCAATGTAATGTAGCCCTGCTGATGCTTTGAAAATGGGAGCGGCATGCTGACGCATCCAAGAGTGTGAATCACAAAGGAAGGTGGACACTGCTCAAACTGACCTACATGCATTGACTGAAGAGTGTCCGTGTAGGCCTCAGCCCTCTGATGTTTTTCACCTCAACCATCGAGGCCTGGTCACAGAGGCAGGAGAACACACAGAGCCATAGATTATACAATAAAACTATCACATACAAAAGGCATACCATATTCTAAAAACATTACTTTTCAGTAAATCATTTGCTAAATCCCAAAACCTCCAAGGGTTCCACACCATCTTACCTAGATCTACTTTACTTTGTGCGTTCTCTATCCCTATCCAACTTATTGTGTATCCAGTCACCTATTTGTGTAATAGTGACCTCTTGACAGGGATTTTTTCAGCGGAAACGCGGGAGAATGCAGTTCCAGCACCCCCAACACTAAATGTATGTAATGGCAAGGTGTGCTGGCTGCTGGGGGATCTATTGTCACTGGTGGAAATCTATTTTTGCATGGGGGTCGTATGTTGCTGGGGGGGTCGTATGTTGCTGGGAAGGATCTCTTGTTGAGGGAGGAGTCTACTGTTCCATGCTGCTGGAGGGCCTATTGATGCTAGCTGCTGGGAGATCTGTTGTTGTTGCTGGGGATCTATAGCTACTTGGGTGCTATTTTGTTGTGTGGGGTACATTGTTGCTGGGGCGTCTATTGTTGTGTGGAGGATCAGTTGTTTGCTGGCTGCAGGGGATCTGCTGTATTTTACTGCTTTTCTTGGTATAATTAACACATTACATACAAATTGCTTGGCACCACAAATTGATACTTGGTTCTGTATTCTCTAAATGGGGCAGTATTGGGAGGTGGGTGGAACCAATGGATGGTGCTTAGAGATGGGTAGGCAGTAGAGACAAGGGGTGGGGAGTTCCTGCACCTATTATCTGAGGAAAAAAAGCCCTGCTGCTTGATATTATTTTCTTCTATGAACCCAAATGTATTTTAACACAATAGAACTCAATGTCCTGAAAAATTCCTGGGGAACATTAATTGGCAGCATTTGAAATTTATATAATACCTTGGCAATATGATCATTTGTAATGCATTTTTTCTCCCTAACCATGAAAGGGGCCTATATCTCATGGAGTTTAGTTTCTCTTTAATCATATTAAGTAGCGAGATATAATTAGCTCTATTCAAGGCAGATACCGATATTGTTAATTTCATTCTGAGATCATTTAACTCCTCCTTACACCATGTGAAAGGGAACTGCGGCTGTATTGCTTTCTGTTCTTTCCGTGGTGCCTTTATATTTAGGATCTCTGACTTAGCTATATTAATTTTAAAATCAGAATATTTCCCATATAACCTTAGCTCCTCCAACACCACAGGCAATATAATCCTTGGATTAATAATATAAAAGAGTATATTGTCTGCATATCTAGCCACTTTATACGCTTTCTCCCCCACTCTCACCCCTTTAATATCCCTGCTCTTTCAAATCATGGACAATAGAGGTTCCAGCACTATTACGAATAACATCAGCGAAAGGGGGCATCCCTGCCTAGCACCATTAAATAATTCGAAAGAAGGAGATAGGGATCCATTTACCATAATTCTTGCTGTTGGGTGGTAATAGAATGCTGAAATCCACTACATAATTCGGGTTACTATTCCTAAATACCTCAGGGTTTCAAACATAAAGTCCCATTCTACTCTATCAAATGCTTTTTTAGCATCTATTGAAAGAGGTAGCACTGGACTTTTTCTATTTTTAACCTCATGAATCAAAAATAGTCTTAATACAATTATCCTTCCCCTCTCAACCTGTAACAAATCCAACCTGATCGTTATGGATCCAGATTGGCATTAGGGGTTTTAATCTTTCAGCTATTAATTTTGCAAATATCTTTATATCTGTGTTTAATAGTGAGATCAGCCTATAACTCGTAATGGTCGTCGGGTCCCTCCTTTCCTTTAACCACTTGCCTACTAGGCACTTATTCCCCCTTCCTTTCCAGGCCAATTTTCAGCTTTCAGCGCTGCCGCACTTTGATTGACAATTGCGCGGTCATGCAACATTGTACCCATATGAAATTTTGATAATTTTTTTCTCACAAATAGAGCTTTCTTTTGGTGGTATTTAATTGCCACTGGGCACTTTACTTTTTGCGCTATAAATAAAAAAAGTGCAAAAAATTTGAAAAAAAAAATTTTTCTTTGTTTCTATTATAAAATTTTTCAAACAGGTATTTTTTCTCCTTCACTGATGTGCGTTGATGAGGCAGCACTGATGGGCACTGATAGGCGGCACTGATGGGCACTGATAGGCAGCACTAAAGGGCACTGATAGGCAGTACTAATGAGGTGACACGGATAGGCGGCACTGATAGACAGCACTAATGAGGTGTCACGGATAGGCGGCACTAATATGCAGCACTGATAGGCGGCACTGATAGGTGACACTGATGATGGGTACTGATAGACGGCACTGACTGGCATCACTGCTGGGCACTGACTGGTGGCACTGACTGGCACAACCCCTGGGCACTGACTGGTGGCACTGACTGGCAGCACTGCTGGGCTGCACTGGTGGGTGGCACTGGTGGGCAGCACTGGTGGGTGGGCACAGGTGGGTGGGCACAGGTGGGTGGCACTGGTGAGCACAGGTGGGTGGGCACAGGTGGGTGGCACTTCTGGGCACAGGTAGGTGGCACTTCTGGGCACAGGTGTGTGACACTGCAGAGTGGCACAGGTGGGTGCACTGCTGGGCACAGGTGGGTGCAGTGCTGGGCACAGGTGGGTGATCTGCTGGGCACAGGTGGGCGGAGCTAGTGGGCGCACTGCTGGCCACAGGTGGGCGGAACTTGTGGGTGGCACTGCTGGGCACCGATCATCAGGGCACTGATCATCAGTGTCCTGATGATCGGTGCCGATCCCCGTTGTGACAACTGCCGGTTCTCGGCAGTACTTTCCTCACGATCTGCCAGCGTGAGGAAAGTGCAGCCGAGAACCGGCACTTGCATTTCCCTGTGATCAGCGTGTCATTGGACACCGCTGATCACGTGGTAAAAGGCCGCTGGGATCGGCCTTTTACCACATCACGTGATCAGCTGTGTCCATAGAACACAGCGATCACGGAGATCGCCGGGTGCGCGCCCCCTGGGGCACGCAGGAGAGCGCGTTCTGGGGGGACGTCATATGACGTCCACCCAGAACTGGCCAGCCGCAGTGAAGCCGTCATTCGGCTATCTGCGGTCGGCAACTAGTTAATATCAGAGTTATATGAACCTGTAGTGACTCCTCTCGAATTTGTACCTCTTCTCCCAAAGCATTTAGATATACGCATTACTTGGGTACCAAGATGTTCTGAAAACTTTTATAATACATGTTCGTATGCCCATCAGGGTCTGGACTCCCCCTTTCCCCCATCATTTTTTTTATCACCCAGGCCACCTCCTTCCTTGTAATTTGGCTATCCAAATATTCTAGCTCAATATTGAGTCTCCTTCAAATATTGCTGTATTTCATAATTTTTTTTTTATCTCTATTTCTGTCACCCTCCTTCTGATACACTTTATACAATTTACTATAATATGTATGGAATACCTTAGCTATGTCTGGAGTAGAATGTACCATTTCCTCTTTCTCATCTTTAGTTTTCAAGATAAAAGATGCTGATTTCTTTTCCCTCAGAGCTTTTGCCAACCATTTCCCAAGCTTATTCCCCCATTGATCTTTCTCCTTCATAACAATATGGAATGCACGTTTCATTTCCTGACCCAGGACTTATGCAGGCTCCTCCCTTTTCCTCACAAGTTCCTCAGCGTTACCTTTTGGGCCTGGTCTGTTCTAATTCTTAGATCTCACCTATAAGGGAGCTCAACCTCTCCTTTTTTCCCCCTTTATTTTGTTCTCCTATTTCCATCAATATTCTGCTTTATATAAGTTTTATGAGACTCCCCTAGTATCAAATGGGGAACCTCTGGTGTATCACTGAAAAAAAAAAAGAACCTTCCCAGCTCTTTTTCTATCTGCATAACTACTGTGTGATCTTGAATGAGAGTTTCTTTCAATTTCCACGTAAATTCCTTATGAACCCCTGACAGCATCTCTAGCTGAACCATGACCAGAGCATGGTCAGCCAGCGTAATAGATTTAACAGCCACATCCTTCAGGGAAGCTAAAAATTGATATTCGAATAAAATGCAATTGATCTTTGAATATGACCCATGTACTGCAGAATAATAAGTATAATTTTTAATCCCGGGGTGCTTAATTCGCCATGCATCTACTAGTTGGTATTCCATTCGTAATCTCTTAAACTCCTCCTGCTTTTGAGTTGACACACAGTAAGAAGCCAATGATGAATCTACCTGTGAGTCTAAACACATATTAAGATCTCCTGCTACAATTAGTTTCCCTTCTTTAAAAGTTATAAGCTTTTTCAGAATTTGTTTCAGGAACTTATTTGGCTGTCTATTAGGAGAGTAAATATTAGCAAATGTGCACTCCATATTAAATAACTTTCCTTTAATAAATAGGATTCATCCCCCAGGGTTTGCCAGCTGCTCACTAAGTAAAAACATAGTGCCTGCTTCCTGCATAGGTCCCAGAAGGAGAAAGCGAGTAGACCAGCAGAACCAAGGGAGGAAAAAAAACACGACCCCCCTCTTCCCCCACTCTCTCTACCCTCTCAGAGGGCCGACCAGGCCTCTGAGTCATACTCGGTATTACTGGTGTTGCCTTTTGTCTACACCACCTGGGGGGTCCCTACTACTGCTACACCCACTGAATCCCCCCCCCCCCCGCTGTCTCTTCTCTAGTGTTTCTTCTGCCAGGTCTGAAAAAAATCTGTAAAGTAACTCCTTCAAGGATAATCCCAGGACTTTGTAAAACTCTTTGCATTATTACCGATTTTTCCTATGCGTAATGGAACCTAACTATAATGTCTCTTGGGGCATCGGCTGTTTGGATTTGATAGCCAGTCACTCTATGTACGCTATCGATTTTTTATATCTCTGAAGGTTCCTTACCCAAGAACGGTTTAAATATCTCTTTCATGACCCGAGACAAGTCTTCTGCCTGGTATTGCTCAGACATACCTCTTATTTGCAAATTCTTGCACTGGCTCCAGCTCTCTTGATCTTCCATTCTGTATAATAAGGATCTATGTACTCTCTGCAGAGTATTGATCTGCTCTCTCAGCTCTTCCAGAGCCTGATCATGTAGATCTAATCTTTCCTCCACCTTCTCCACTTGACTAAAGACCTGCACCAGTTCTGCCTGGGCTGCAGTAATGTCTGTTTTCAGGGACACTTCCAGTTTTGCTAGCAAGTCCACTAAGACCTCTTTAGTCAATGGCGCATACGCTTGACCTTCTTCTGGGCCCCCCTGGATCCTCCAATGATAAAGCTGCTTCTTTTCATTGCCTGTTTTGTGGTCTTTACTCTGTATTTTAAGGCTTCCCATGAGGTTTCTTCCAGAGCTTCTTGGCCGTCAAGATGTTGGACCACTGGTTACACATCTGTAGTCTCCTCTTCCATATTGACATAAACCAATTCTATGTGCAAAATATAATGAACATATAACAACAACTGTGAACATGCATTAATAAAGTAAACATGTGTCAATGCAGTCTCTCAAAATGTCTTCCACTTAAATGAGCAATCTTTCCAACTTAAATAAACCTACTGTCTTCATATAGATTACATCCTCCACCAAACAACCACCAGATGTGCCCTCACCTGGAGTTTTTGACCTCACATCATGTCAGGTCAAAAAAAGCATGTGTCCCAAGAAATGGCATGTAATGGTGTACGTATCCACACTGCAGGATCTTCCTCCAGAGATCATCACTTCCTAAAGAGCTCCTCCTCCACTCCACATATATGATATGAAAGATAGGGAACACAATAGTGCTTTATCCTTAAAACAACTCAATTTTATTAAAAACTTAAATAGTGGCCACTCTCATTTTCTAGGTGCTCATCGCACCAGGTGTAATACACATATAAAAACAGCATGATCAGCATAAGTGTACATTTACCATCCTCCACTCATTTGCTGAGATACCAAATCAATCCATGTAGTGTGCATCGTCATGTCATCAGCTCGTCGCACCAGGTGTAATACACATATAAAAACAGTGTGATAAGCTTTTATGTTTGTGGCCATTGCTATAGTTGTGTTAGGGTTAGGAATAACAACAAGAAGAGAAAGATGTTCTGTAACCCCAGCACAGGACAAGAGTATGTTATCATAGATTTTATATCTTGCCATACTAAGGGAGTAGTTTATGTCTTGGCTTGCCCATGTGGGTATTTCTATGTGGGTAGGACCAAGCGAGCATTGAAAGAAAGGGTGAAGGAGGATGTTTAAAATATCAGTAGAGGATAAAAAAAACAATACTTGTCCAACAGCTTCAGATTGGTACATCAAAAAGATTGCAGTTTGTTGCAGTTTTGGGGGGTAGAAGTATACAAACCCTATTGGAGAGGGGATAATAAGATTAGGGAATTAAGTAAGAGGGAATCCAGATGGATTCATGAATTATGGTCCCTGGTCCCGAATGGCTTAAACGCTGAGTTTGTCCTTACATGTTTCTTGTGCAATCCTTGATGGAATTGTTGGACATTATATCTTCCTTATGAGGGGGAATGGGATGTTGGAGCTAAGGGAGGATCACATCACTACAAAATCTTGTTTACTGGTCCGTATTAAGGGTGAACCCCTGATGGTGGTTCACATCATGGATGTGTACCTATAATGTTATTTTTAATAATTATTTTAATTAGTCTCCTAATATGCTTTATATAGATATGGCCATGTTGCTATATGAATCTGGGAGGGTTATTAGTGGGTCTTTTGTGTGATGACCAATAGTTATTTGATTAGCATTTTCATTCCTACATTGCATGTTTATTTATGATTGTAATATTTTTTTATTTTCTATAGTTTTTAAATTATAGGGGGTGTGGTATGCCCATATGGGTAGTGGGTGGGAAGATTTCTTTAACATGCTTTGCGTGCCCGTGGTGATTCTTTTATACAGTTAGGTCCATAAATATTGGGACATGGACACAATTCTAACATTTTTGGCTCTATACACCACCACAATGGATTTGAAATGAAGCGAACAAGATGTGCTTTAACTGCAGACTGTCCGCTTTAATTTGAGGGTATTTAAATCCAAAGCAGGTGAACGGTGTAGGAATTACAACAGTTTGCATATGTGCCTCCCACTTTTTAAGGAACCAAAAGTAATGGGACAGAATAATAATCATAAATCAAACTTTCACTTTTTAATACTTGGTTGCAAATCCTTTGCAGTCAATGACAGCCTGAAGTCTGGAACGCATAGACATCACCAGACGCTGTGTTTCATCCCTGGTGATGCTCTGCCAGGCCTCTACTGCAACTGTCTTCAGTTCCTGCTTGTTCTTGGGGCATTTTCCCTTCAGTTTTGTCTGCAAGTGAAATGCATGCTCAATCGGATTCAGGTCAGGTGATTGACTTGGCCATTGCAGAACATTCCACTTCTTTCCCTTAAAAAACGCTTTGGTTGCTTTTGCAGTATGCTTTGGGTCATTGTCCATCTGCACTGTGAAGCGGCGTCCAATGAGTTGTGAAGCATTTGGCTGAATATGAGCAGATAATATTGCCCGAAACACTTCAGAATTCATCCGGCTGCTTTTGTCAGCAGTCACATCATCAATAAATACAAGAGAAGCAGTTCCATTGGCAGCCATACATGCCCACGCCATGACACTACCACCACCATGCTTCACTGATGAGGTGGTATGCTTAGGATCATGAGCAGTTCCTT